ACTTGTGTTTATGGAAGGAAAGGTCTTCCAGTATCCTTGGGCATCACACAGCTTTTCCCACTAATCAGTTGCCAGATACTGAAGCCATGAGTTATATAAAATAGAGTTGATTTGTTTTGTAGCTGACGAGGAGAAGGGGAGAGACTCCAGTCTCAAATCTGTCTTCCTTGGGACAGGATTTGGGACAGGTAGGAAAGTCAAGTAATTAAAGATAGATAAAGAGAAAAGATTTTAAAATGATCAGTGATTTGCTCATAGGAAATAAAAAAAAAAAGAAAGTCATGGCTGTTCAGCAGATGCATGTTCAGAAAATATAATTAGTATGAAAGGAATATAGATTATCTGGTCACCTGACATGAAAAACTCATCCATTAGACACCTGTACAGACCCAGGGAAAAGACAATGGGGTCAATAGAAATGATTTTGATGTCCCTAAAATAATAGCTTATGAAACTACTATCCAAGTAGTACATATGAGAGAAGTGTTACGAGCAAAGTCACAAATAATATATGTCTTAGCTGTTGACTTCCAGAATTAGTAAATTTTAAAGCAAGCTAAAAGCAAGAAACTAAAGGAGGGCACCGAGGCTCAGAGTCAGCGATGGAATAATCCAAATGATTGCCTGGTACAGATGAATCTAGGCCACCTGAGCTTGTTGGCTGGTGACTGCCCAAGTTAGGTTCTGTCTTCTGATGGAGAATCAGAAAATGAGGTCTTTATTCTTTTGATAGTTTCAGTCTTGAGAATGACTCTTGGGTCCTGGGAGATGCTGCTGAGCTGCAAGAGATATTTACAAGTGTAAGCCTGTTGTGTGATACTTTGATCGAATTCTGACAATAAAGTTTACTTTGGATCAGAGAAGCAATAGGGAAGCCACCAGTGATCTCTCCTTCTTCCATTCCTCAATTCAAAAGATTCGAGATCCTCTCTTTGGCCTGCCTTACTACCTCCTGTCTCCTCTCTGTCCGCAGTCTAAGATCTCTATGGTTGATTTTGCCCAGCTAGGGACTAGCTCTGTCCTCTAACTTTATTGTCAGAATGTGATCAAAATATCATGCAACATAAGCCCTTCTTTTTGGTCAAAGCTCAATAGATCACTGTGGCCCACTGAACAAGCACTGGATTTGTGCACATGCTTAGCCAAGCTCTGTTACTGAGTGACATGCTCAGCCATGGTCTAGTTTTAGGTTACATATTTCAATGGGCTATATTCCTAGGCTATTCTTTGATGTTTTGTTCAATAGGATATTTTTGGAATATGAGAGAACATCAAGAATTAAAGGCATCTGGCTGAGTGTGGTGATGCATGCCTTTAATCTCAACACTGAGGAAGCAGAGATAGTTGGAACTTGGTGAGTTTGAGGCAGACATGTGAGGTCCAGGACAGCCAGAACTATGCAGAGAGACTCTGCCTCAAAAAACAACACAAAAATAAATTAATTAATTAAAAGAACCTAGGAAAAAGATAGGGATTGATTGTGTTGTTTTATTGTTGTTGAGTGTGCTAGGCAGTCAGAACTCATGCAGGGGTTTAGACTAAAGGATCTAGTGAGTCATCACTCAATAAATTTTGGATCAAACATAAATTGCAAGTTGATTAAGGCTTTCAGCCTCACATGTATCTTATGAATAGGTGATAACATTTACCTGTTTTTCATTTCCTAAATAATACTTGTTCCTTCTCTTTAGGAAGTAGTTCCAAGCCTCTGAGAGCTCAGAGAGTGAATTTTCAGTACCTTTGCCCCAGGACACTCTGAAAACAAAAATCTAATTTCTCTTCTAATGGGGAAAAAACCCAATTCATTCTATTATATCTTATAATTTAGAAAGGAAAGATTGCTTCTCAGGAAATTCTTTAAAGTGAAGAAATCCTGGGGGAACACATCACTTGGTACAGGGTAGCTAAACCCAGCATAACAAGGAAAATATTGCCTTGTGGATGAATGCCTTTGCTCAGCTCTTGAGAGACAATCAGTCATCCAGACAACCTTCGTCTTGGTGTTGTGCCTCACTTTATGTTGTTTTCTTTCAATAATTTTAAATATATTGATATTTAGGGCATTTCTAATTTTAATTTTACATATATGAGAAATTGATCTGTGTTTGAAAAGAGAGGTTCATTTACATTTAAGTACATATTTAAATTAAAGAACAGTTTTGAATAGATATTACTCATTACAAATAACATTATGAAATTAAATCTTCAAGTGGCTTTAAAATATTCAGTGAGGTACTATGTGTAAGAAAAACTTGAAAATACATCAATTAAACTGTTTTGTTGGTGGTGATGGTGCCATACTGGGTTGATAAAGAAGATTTGAAAATGCTTTAAAATACAAAAGTCTTAATAAGCAATAAAAGCCATTGAAGAGTTTAGTGGGACAGAAAAATCATAAAGGCAGTGATGAGGAGAAATTGAGGAGAGGAATGTGTTTATTCAGTTTGTACTTCATGCCAGGTGCTGTTGTGAACATACACCATGCAGAGATTCAATGAATCCTCAAAATAAACACAGATGATATCATATGGAACAATGAGAAGGAGCAGGAAGAGAAGGAAGTGGAGGAGGATGAGGAGGGGAGGGAAAAGAAAAAGAAATTAAGATTCATATCCCAAATTGGAGTTAAGGGAAAGGAATATGTTCGAAATCCATCCCTTAGTCTTTAAGATTGGTCTGTGGGTCACTGAGATTCCCTAAGCTCCCTACGACCAGCTGTAGAATCACATTCCCTTTTTAGTATGATGACATAAGTAAATAAATAAATTTTAAAATGTATTTATATGGCTATGGGTTCTCTCTCAAAATATTATGCCCCATAGACTCACCCTTCTTCTCAGTATAATAGAAAATGCAATACCAATGTGTTGAGATGCAGTGAAGTGAAGAACATCTCAAAGCATGGTTTGGCTATTGGTACTTCCCACCAAAACAAGCAATGCCATACCAGAGTCAACTTGATAACCAAGAGCATTACAAAGTAACTAGGCGGCATATAGGGAATACTCACAGAAGTGATGGATAAAGAAATTGCTCATATCCTAGACTGGACAGAGTGAGGCACTATGAGATTTCATCATGCTACTCAGAATGGTGTGCAAATTAAAATTCTGACTCATTGACTTCTGAAATTGTCCACTGATATTTTCAGATTGTAACTGACAGAAAAGAGAATATAGATATGAGGTAGATCATTGGCATCTTTAGGGAATCCTGAAAAGAAAAATTTTGGGTTAATTGTCAAGTCCTGGGAGAGGTAGGAACTGTATTTGTTGTCCAGTCTCTGCATAATGGGAAAGTGCAGGGCTTGTCTCAAGTCCTTGTTTGAGTAGTCTATGAATCTGGATCATCTCAGCTAGACATCTTGAAATTGTCCTGAGCAGTTTGTAGTCCAAAGCCAGTCTTTCCATGGTGTTAATCAGCTTAATGGCTTTACCTTAGTCTATGTGGAATCATCTTTGTGGGGCCTCGTCTTCCTTTTTCGGATTTCAAAGTTGCTGTTAGGTGTGGTCATGGTTCCCTGCAGATTATTTATTTATTTATTTATTTATTTATTTATTTATTTATTTATTTATTTTTGCCTCCTCTGTAGTTTGGAGCAATCACAGTCTGATAAATATCTGTCTCTTGGAACCATGAGCGTTCTTCCCTAGAAGAGAAAATCTTCACAGCAATTTCTCCCTACCATTTGTCTTGCCAAACTGACCTTTGCCAATGCTTTCTTGTAACACGATGGTCCTGGCAATTCATTTCTGAACAAGCATCGGTAAACCCTTCATCCCAGGTAGCAGCATCACTGCAGTCACCAACACGATGAGAAGCAACCAGCAACTCGGAGCAGCAGTTGCTGCCTCCATGGTCCCACCACCATTTGTGGCTCAGCCCTGGCCGAAGCTTCTCCTTAGCAAGCCTCCTAGGCCGGCCTCAAACTGGGGATCTTCCTGCCTCTGCCTCCTTCAGTAAATCCAACCAGTGTACTTCACCATACTGGCTGATGGTAGCTTGGGTCTGATCTGGGGCCCACAAGGCCACAGGCAAGTGGCTTTTTCGTGAATTCGTACCACAAACGTTGGGCGCCAGATATAACATGAATCTTAAAAGGGTCTTATTAATAAAAACAAACCTGGAGCCAGGTATTGGGGTGAATGGCTGGAAGGTCAGAGAAGCAGAATAAGCCACAGCCACCTCACCTCGCCAATTCCTCAGCTGATCCTGTTTCCTCAGAATGAAAGCCTCTGAGTTCTTATCCAAATGGATCTCAGCTGAACTGTGCTGCTCAAAAGCCTAAAATCTTAACCAACTCTAGTTCCTGGTTTTCATGCCTTATATACCTTTCTTCTTTCTGCCTTCACTTCCTGGGATTAAAGGCGTGAGTCACCATGCCTGGCTGTTTCCAGTATGACTTTAAACTCACAGAGATTTAGATGGATCTCTGCCTCCCAAGTGATAGGATTAAAGGCATGTGTGCCACCATTTTCTAGCCTCTATGTCTATCTAGTGGCTGCTCTGTTCTCTGACCCCAGATAAGTTTGTTAGGGTGCATAATATTTTGGGGAACACAATATCACCACACACATATTCCTCTCCTCTTTCTGTCCCTTCTTCCAAAATGCTTCCTGTGCCTTGGAAGGAGTGCTACGGCACAAATAACTAAATAATGAATAATTTTCCATTGTTTTGGAAGGGGCATTATATCAAAGAAGATATTCTCTCTCTCTCTCTCTCTCTCTCTCTCTCTCTCTCTCTCTCTCTCTCTGTCTTTCTCCAAGAGAAGATTAAATCATCTTTTATGTCATTCATGTAATCATTAACACATAGCTCTTAGCTTAATATGAGTACTTATTTACTTTTTTACTTTTTGAAATATTGCTGTAGCAACAAACTGAAAGGATATTGTTGCTGTAAAAGACCTTTGAGTTGTACAAACTCCACTTGCTAAATTATCTAATGTTCAAGAATCTCCCACCACCCAAAGACCTGTGTCATCCTGAGATACAACATTTTGTGTTTTCAGAAGTCTGATTTAGTAGTGCCTTGGCCAGGTATCGTGATATTTTATTTGTGCTGAAATGTAATTTTATTTGTATGTTAATAAATAAAGTTGCCTGGGGGTCAGAGCTAATAACAAGCCACTTAGCAGAAGTCTGGCAGTGGTAGCACACGCCCTTAATCCCAATCACATGGCAGGCGGAGTCTCTGTGTGTTCAAGGACACAGCCATCATGGAGACACACGCCTTTAATCTCAATACCAACCATAGAGACCTGGAGATCTGTATAGACAGGCAGTGACGAGGAAGTCACGTGGTTGGATTTAGAACCAATGAGAAGGCAGAACAGAAAGGCAATAAAAAGGCAGGTTACACAGGAGAACGTCTCAGTGTCTCAGGGGAAGGACGGCAGAAACTGGTAAGCTAAAGGCTAGTCGCTAATGCTCTAACCTCTTGGGCTTTTAACTCTTTATTTGGCTCTGTGTTTCTTGTTTAATAAGACTGTTTAGAATTACATCTACATTTAGCGGTCAGCTAGGTGGCTGTGCTTCTTGTTTAATAAGACTGTTTAGAATTACATCTACATTTAGCGGTCAGCTAGGTGGCGGTGTGCGGTGCAGACATGGCTTACAAGATCCCGCCTCGGTGGCTGAACTGTCCGCGGCGCGGCCAGCCGGTGGCAGGCAGATTCTTACCTCTGAAGACAATGCTGGGGCCAAGGTATGACAGTCAAGTTGCTGAGGAAAACCGGTTCCATCCCAGTATGCTCTCAAATTATCTAAAGAGTCTGAAGGTTAAAATGAGCTTATTGGTCGATCTGACAAATACTTCCAGGTTCTATGACAGAAATGACATAGAAAAAGAAGGAATCAAGTATATCAAACTTCAGTGTAAAGGGCATGGTGAATGCCCCACGACTGAGAACACTGAGACATTCATTCGCCTGTGTGAGAGGTTTAGTGAAAGAAGCCCACCTGAACTTATAGGTGTTCACTGTACCCATGGCTTCAACCGGACAGGTTTCCTTATATGTGCCTTTTTGGTTGAGAAGATGGATTGGAGTATTGAATCAGCAGTTGAAACATTTGCCCAAGCCCGACCACCAGGAATCTATAAGGGTGACTATTTGAAGGAACTTTTTCGGCGCTATGGTGATATAGAAGCAGCACCACCACCACCTGTCTTGCCAGATTGGTGTTTTGAGGATGATGATGAAGATGGAAAAAAGGACTCAGAACCAGGGTCAAGCGCTTCCTCTGGTAACAGGAGAAAAGAACGGTTAAAGCTGGGTGCTATTTTCTTGGAAGGTATAACTGTTAAAGGTGTAACTCAAGTAACCACTCAACCAAAGTTAGGAGAAGTACAGCAGAAATGTCATCAGTTCTGTGGCTGGGAAGGGTCTGGGTTTCCTGGAGCACAGCCTGTTTCCATGGACAAGCAAAATATTAGACTTTTAGAACAGAAGCCATATAAAGTAAGCTGGAAAGCAGACGGAACTCGTTACATGATGTTGATTGACGGCACAAATCAAGTTTTTATGATTGACAGAGATAACTCAGTGTTTCATGTTTCAAATATGGAATTTCCATTTCGCAAAGATCTCCGCATGCATTTATCAAATACCCTTTTGGATGGGGAAATGATCATTGACAAAGTAAATGGACAGGCTTTTCCGAGATATTTAATATACGACATAATTAAATTCAATGCACAACCAGTTGGAGATTGTGATTTTAATATTCGCCTGCAGTGTATTGAACATGAAATCATAAGTCCACGACATGAGAAAATGAAGACTGGGCTCATTGACAAAACACAGGAACCATTTAGTGTGAGACCTAAACAATTTTTTGACATCAATGTTTCAAGAAAGCTCCTGGAAGGAAATTTTGCCAAAGAAGTCAGCCATAAGATGGATGGACTTATTTTTCAGCCTATTGGAAAATACAAACCTGGTCAATGTGATGATATTTTGAAATGGAAACCTCCCAGTCTGAACTCTGTGGATTTTCGACTGAAGATAACAAGAATGGGAGGAGAAGGGTTGCTTCCACAGAATGTTGGCCTTCTCCATGTTGGAGGTTATGAAAGACCCTTTGCACAAATCAAGTTGACAAAAGAACTAGAACAGCACAACAACAAAATCATAGAATGCAAATTTGACAACAACAGCTGGGTCTTTATGAGACAGAGAATAGACAAAAGTTTCCCAAATGCCTACAACACAGCCATGGCTGTGTGCAACAGCATCTTGAACCCTGTCACCAAGGAGATGCTGTTTGAGTTCCTTGACAGATGTGCAGCAGCTACCCAAGGACAGAAGCGAAAGTATCTTCTGGACCCTGACACAGAGCTTGTGACACCCCCACCTCCCAAGAGACTGCACCGGCCAACCTAGTCCCTGCCTCTGACCTCATGCTCAAGAGGAAAGAAGAATGAGAAGAATGCTGTTGCCTCATTTACACAGCCAGAGAAATTGAAGAGACAAATGTGGCTTGGTACTGACACATGTGTTTAAAGGAAAGACATTATGAGAGAGTTCTGTTAGTAATATAAATTAGGATAGAAAGTGAATCAGGTACATTTTGGACTTACCAAAATAGGATAGATAATGGAATTATTTTCTCTGAATTTGTCAAATGCAAATGAATTAGACATTGTTTAGGTATTTATTGTTGTATATATTGTATATAGTTATATAGCTATTGTACTTTTTGTATATAATTTTTCTTATATTAACTTTTTTCCTTTTTTATTTTTATTAGAATAAAAGGGAAATATGGTGATATTTTATTTGTTCTGAAATGTGATTTTATTTGTATGTTAATAAATAAAGTTGCCTGGGAGTCAGAGCTAATAGCAAGCCATTTAGCAGAAGTCTGGCAGTGGTAGCACACACCCTTAATCCGATCACATGGCAGGCAAAGTCTCTGTGTGTTCAAGGACACAGCCAGCATGGAGACACACGCCTTTAATCCCAGTACCAACCACAGAGATCTGGAGGTCTGTTAGACAGGCAGTGATGAGGAGGTCACGTGGTTGGGTTTACAACCAGTGAGAAGGCAGAACAGAAAGACAATAAAAAGACGGGTCACACAGGAGAAGGTCTCTCTGTCGGGGGAGGATGTCAGCGACTGGTAAGCTAAAGGCTAGTCAATAGTGCTCTGACCTCTTGGGCTTTTAACATTTAGAATTACATCTACAGCCAGGGGCTCAATAACAACCATAGTCAAACAAGGGAAGGCAATTTGTGTCTGTTCTGTGTCATGGTAAACCTGTGGTGCCAGCTGTCTGCCAGAAATCTGCCCCCCAAATGCAAATACAGCAGACAATAATCAGTTCATTATACAATGAAACAGCCAAGAAGAAACATTATGGTGATTGAAAACACTTGCTAGGGCAAGTGTTTCCCTGGCCCAGTCCACCAGCTGGCTGAGGGCAGTTGGGCTAGGCTTTCCCTACATGCATAACTCCAAGGTTGATGTTAACACAAACTAAAGCGTTAATGGTGCCCCCTAGAGTTGTCTAATATGATATCCCTATATTCTGCCTAGTCCACAATTTTCCTAATTTTTTTTTTCTGTTCTGAATATCTAGAGGGCTTTTGGCATAAAAATGGAGAGGGCAAATGGTTGTTATTTGATTAGTTCTTGTTTTCTGTTGGGTCTCCTTTCTCATCATCCCACATAATGATCCAATTATATTTGGTAAAGTCAAATGGGTTTTAGTTTTTATGTTGTTGAAAGTAAGAAGTTCTTTAAAATATTCCTGTTGACAGGTCACTTCAGTCATTCCATTTTAATAATTAGGGACCTCTGTACATGTGAAGGAAGCACAGGTTAAGTAACCTTAAGGCAAAAGGAAAACCAAAATTGTTGTTTCATACAAGAGAAAAACTCAGCAATGAGACCACACTGCTTTCCACCCTAGTCAGATTTAGTGACCTGGATGGCAGCTTGTGCACACTCTTGCCACACTTCTCTGTTCTTTCTATTGCTATGCCTCATGAAAACCAGCTCTTTCTGTCCTACATTAAGGTGACCCTCACATTTCCTACTAACAGCTCATGCCCTCAGCATTCATCTTCCACTACATTGGAATCCCAGATTTCATCTTAGTTCCACAGCCTTCAGTCATGTGCTCATCCTGAACTGATAATTATGGTCAGAAGACTGGAATGCTATGAGACTAAAGAGGGAGTGATAGGAAACCCAGTCACATGGACCAAGAGAGTATGGGGCTGGTTATGATACAAACAAGGAGCAGATGATAGGAAAATAAAAGCAGCACACTTCCCCTTTCCCCCACTTAGCAGGTGATGAAACTGTGGGAGCTCTCAGAGATGTGTACTGACTATGTAACAATTACTGTAGGGTGCTATTTTTCCCCTAACCTAGTCATTTCTGGGAAGGGTCAGACTTGTAGGTAATGAGTGATAAAGAATTTTTTTGTTTTAGACATGTGTTATGGTTCTCGAGAATATGAAAGAACCAGAAGTGAACAGATAAATTGCTACTGAGCATCATAAGAATATGTTTAGAGTCTTTGACTCAGTGATGTTCAGTTGATTTTCCAATGCATGAAGAACAGGGAGCTTGGTTTTCTTGACAGATCTTACAAACAAAGCTCTCCCTGAAGGACTGGCAGTGATTGCCAAGACAAGCAAATGTCTCTTCTTGCCTTGCTTCTTTGCACTTTCAACTTTTGAAAGGAGATTGTCTGCTTTGATTTGGATGTGGCTCTTTTGGGGAGGAGAGCCAAGTGGCTTTCTGACCTGAGGGGCTTTGTGTGCTTCAGAGAGTCATAGGCTTACAATGTACAGGCAGCCCATGCTGTGGAGGAGACGCTTTCACAAGCGCTGTGTGATTCTGTGCCCACATCTTCACAAACAGCATATCCCTGAGGAACACATTCTTAACTTCCTTTTGTTTACTTTGTAATTTGGTTCTGTGGCAGTCCATCTTGAAGGTACAGAAAGGGTAATGATTTCACAAGAACTCGAGTTGAACCCAAGCGGAAGAAGAGGGAGTTAAGAGACATGCCCTGAAATCAACCTGCTCACTTAGAGTAAATTTGAAGAAAAACGGAGCATGAAAACAACAAATCTGTCTGACTTATCTAAAAGGAGGGGATGAAATCATCCCCACAGAAGGAAATGTGTAACCAAATCCAGCAGTTTATCACCTCTTCATGAGGCCTTGAAATAGCTCTATGGATTTATATTGTTTCCAAAAGACATGTGAGCCATGCTGCACTACCCTGTCCTACTGTGAACCATGAAATCAATCCATTGCTCTTTCAGACTTTGGGAAAATGATATGCTGCTAATGTCAATGAACTTGCTGCACTCACAAATGTGTTTTCACTCCTCAAGTTTACTGGAGTGGAAGACAGGAAGGATATGCTTTCCTAAAAAGACCTCTATTTTCTAGACACGAGTGCCTTTTTGATAAAATGCCTCCTTAACATGACAAGCGGTGCCATCTCCCTTCCCACAAATAGCCGATTTCTCTGTATTAGCCAATGTGATCAACTCCCATTTCCTTTTGGACACTCTACAAAGGCAAATGGACAGTGTCCAAACATGTCCTTTTCCCATATCACAAAAGACCAGGGCTAGATTCTCAGTGGCCCCATCATGCCACATATCATCCTCCTCTACCCGAGTGTCCTTTATTTTTGCACATTACCTCGGTTTATTATCATTTATTTGATGGCAATTTTACCAGTGTTAATACCTAATTCTGTGAAACAGCAAATTATTTATGGGTTGCTAGACATAGTCTATACAAAGTCTTATTGGTTTTTTTCTATATTGTGGACATGAGTTGATTTAATATACACATTACATTTTTTATTTTAAAATAAATTTGTGTGTGTGTGTGTGTGTGTGTGTGTGTGTGTACAGGTACACTTGAATGCCAGAAGAGAGAGTTGGACCCTCAAAAACAGGCATTACAGGCTATTGTAAGCCATACAACATGGGTGCTAGGAACTGAACTGTGGTCCTCTGTGGTGATATATTGTGTCCCCCAGTATATTGTGCATCCTAATAAACTTATCTGGGGTCAGAGGACAGAAAAGCCACTAGATAGACATAGAGGCTAGAAAATGGTGGCACATATGCCTTTAATCCTATCATTTGGGAGGCAGAGATCCATCCGGATCTCTGTGAGTTCAAAGCCACACTGGAAACAGCCAGGCATGGCACTCACACCATTAATCCCAGGAAGTGATGGCAGGAAGCAGAAAGGTATATAAAGCATGAAAACCAGGAACTAGAAGCTTTTGGCTGGTTAAGCTTTTAGGCTTTTGAGCAACAGTTCAGCTGAGATTCATTCTGGATGAGGACTGAGAGGCTTCCAGTCTGAGGAAACAGGATCAGCTGAGGTGAGATGGCTGTGGCTTGTTCTGCTTCTCTGACCTTCCAGCGTTGACCCCAGTACCTGGCTCCTGGTTTGTTTTTATTAATAAGACCTTTTAAGATTCGTGTTACAGTCCTCTAAATGAGATGCAATCACTCAACTGCTGAACTCTCTCTCCCGCCCACAAATCAACTTTGATAGGAAATTAAAAACAATGTATATAAGCATGTACACGGAATTAGAAAGTAATACAAATTAAAAAAAAATAAAAACATATTGCTGATATCTCTGAGGAGACCAGGAAACATGGTTATGTGGAAGCTTGGGGCATAGTTCTCATTTTTGCCTATAATTAATAAATATATGTTTGTATCTTCATGAACAACTTCATAGAGTGGATTCATATCAGGTGGTTCTCTAAGCCGAGGTGCTAACTAATAGTCAAAGACTATTTCTGATATTTATTAGATATGTATATTTCATGAAGGTAATTCATTTCTCTGCCAGTATTTTCATCTTTATAATGGAAATAATGATATTACCCATGGTGCTACTGTGGGAAATAAATGAGAGAATGAATCTAACATCCACAATGGGGTACCTGGCCTTTTGTAAGTACTTTATGGTTGTTTGTTTTGTAGTCTTGTTTTTATTGCTAAACATAGTAATACCAGAGAATTCTCTTCTTAAATACATTTCCAGAATGTAGAAAGCAATGTCCTCTGTAACTCAGTCGCGTTTACCAAGCAAGAAACATCTAGATTCCCTAACAATTCCTCTGATACACATAGAAATTGTCTTGGAAGCATGCACAAATGTTTAATATCTAAGTATTCATTTATCTAAGATATTTTAAAAGTTGTTTTTCACAATATAGCTGAAAATGAAACATTTCTTATAGTTAGGCATGATGGTACATGGTTGTTAACCCAGCACTTAGGAGGCTGAGGCTGAAGGATCATGAATTTGAAATCAGTCTGTGTTACAGAGTGAGCTCCAGGGTAGAATGAGCTATGTCTTTGAGACTCTGTCTCAAAAACAAAACACAAGAACACAACCCTAGCCCCTTTTGAAAACAGTATAGGTAGCAATTACTAGGCTGAGAAATAGTTCTCTGGACATCAAGTGATGGAGAAGCTCATTGCCCTAGGGATAACTACCTGTGACCAGCCCAGAGATCTCTATGCCTGATCATTACACGTTTAAATAAATA